TCGAGTGACGTCTGGAAGTGCCTGGAACGACTCGCGCTCGTGTGACCTGGGATGGCGAATGCTGGCGAGGCAGTCGCGACCAGGTCATGATGATTGATACTGATCGCCAACTGGTCGCCGCCTATCATATAGCCGTATACTTCATCGCGAAGTTCTCGGGCAAACTTTGTTTCTAGCAGTCCCAAAAGGATACCATGACGGTAAGTCATGTGATCATTCAAGTACTGTTGGAGAACCGTCTCGAGCTGGTCCAGTTTTGCTGTGATCTTGGCCAGCTTTTGCTTAAGGTTCTGGAATTGTTGTCGGGTCTTTGCTGTAAGATTACTACGCCTTTGATGAGGCCTTGTGCGATTGAGCTTAGCTCGGTCGGGTGCTTCGATGTGCTTCAGAATGTGAATGTGCCTGAGAGCACTGCAATTATTAGCTGCTGCTAGATTCGTAGACTCCGGACGGAACTTACCGGGAAACGTATTCATGGTCGAGAAAGAATCCTACAGCGGGCGGAGTGCGCACCTCCATGATGATGGCTGGTTAACTAGTAAGTTGAAAAGGTGGTTGAAGAAAGGCCGGAGCGGGTAGTTGAGACTGTAGGGGCTGAGGAGGGGTGCTTTTCCCAACGCGGCGTTGTGATCAGTCATCCAAAGTGCATGTGAAGGGAAAGAACACACGGGCCAGAGACTCAACCTACGGAGTGAAATATGTGGATTACAGGTTAGTCACGCCAACCTAGAAAAAGCCCAAACAGCCCAGAGCCTACGTTAACGTTAGGTTACCTACTTTGCAAGGTTTTAGCTCAATGTAGTCTGCAGACCTGATTCAACCCAACCAAATCTCTCAGAACTTCAACCCCACCATCTAAGCCCCCCAAAAGCGAAAGCAACATGGCTTACACAGTCGATTTGACTCGTGAGAACGTGTACATGTAAGTCATCTCAAAAGCCTCATACAAGAATCTGAACAAGCGAGCCGCAGCATACTTGGGGACAAAAATGAAAGTCGCGATAACCCTGAAGGCAATGTAGACACCTGGGTCATTGATGGAGTGGCTGTTCAGTGCTAATATGAGGACCAGCACACTCAGGTATTGCGCACTTATCGACCATGTTCTGGACAAGAACAGTCCACTACTCACGGCGTCCCAAATCGCAAGTCTGGATCGTACGCAGTCAGAATACGAAGACTTCGCCGATACTCATGTCGAACATTACGCGCAGCAGGAATGTCGGGCATTGTGTACCGCCATGCAACATAAGCTTCCCCGCGAGCTCCGCGATATGATCTACGACCACATCCTCTCCCCTGCTCGAGATGAACCGATTTTCATCAACAACGAATACTTCGAAAACGTCGACGAGCCATACCGGGACATTGTTGCGGGTTATGCCGAGGAACGCGGATACGGATACGCGCATATGTGTAGCGAGGAATTTGTCGATTTGGACACTATGAGCGAGTTTGCACGTCGCTGGTATTATCATACCAGATTGTGGCTATATCTCACACCTACGGAGGTCGCTGAGTTCTTCGAGACTGATATCTGGGGTCTCGGTCTGGAAGGCGATCGTCTGCTGCGCCATGTCGAGGTCGAGTTGTGCGAACAATTCGACGAAGACGACGCCACTCCACTCCGACAATGCCTATTCAAGCTCGCGCCTGGCGCATCGATCGTTTTCCACCTGCGAGTAGATTACATTTATGGCCCAGGTGAGTACACGTATGACGAGGAATTCACCATGTGCCTCCTCTCCGAACGCGTGAGCAAGCTGTTTCCTCTGATGCGGCAGCTGATCGAGGCTGGCTATGAGTTGTATGGGGCGCTGGATGGGTATGAAGACTTTCGTGTCACTCCCGCCACTTTGGACCGAGAAATTTGGAAAGACACGCTGATGGCGCATTGCGAAGGCCGTGATTGTGGGTAGATCCGCTGGTATTGAAGAGCTTTACTGACCACGAACAGGGGCGTGATCGACACGTGACTGCAGGTGGTCATGATGTGACTGGGAGTAAACATCTTCGCAGCTTACTGCAAGTGACTGGATAAGCGCAATTTAACGGGCGTATGCTATATGTAGGGTGCAATCAACTACTTGTTCTCACAATCTCGACGGTGTACGCGTATGTATGCACCTTCTCACCTAAGTGCCGCCATTTGGAAATGGCAGTCGCGGTGACTACCTCCTCGCTTCTGCATCGCGGCATTCATTTGCGCATGCCATATGTTCCAGGTCCATCGCGGAAGGTGGAGGTAAAGTCGTCGCGTTGTCGCACTGCGGTTGGGTGATGTCGGCGTCTAGGGCGCGAGGGGTCGCGAATATCTCCGAACATGGGACCTGTTGACTCAGAAGGTATATTGGGAAGCTGCTCGCCAACATCTGCAACCACACACTGAATCATCAATCCAAGCACAAGATGGACTCAAAAATCTTCCAATGGGAGCGCACTGTCGCTTCGGGCACCTACCTCATATCCTCCGACCGGTCGCTCCTTCCATACACCTTCGTCCAGGAAGCCTACGCGACGGACGCAATGTTTTGGGCGAAACCGCTCTCTTTCACGGACCTGTCGACCATGCTTGACAACAGTCTCACCCTCGGTGTGTACTCTGTCTCGGACGGCGTCAAGAAGCCTATTGGCATGGCGCGCTTCATTACCGACTACACAACGCTCGCCTACCTCACAGACGTCTACCTCGTCCCCGAACACCAGGGCCAAGGAATCGGCAAATGGCTCATCGCATGCTGTCGCGAGATCTGCGCCGGAATGGAAAACCTCCGGTGGATGGTCCTCTTGACCGGCGGCGAGCAAGCGCAAGCGCTCTACAGGAAGGAATTGGGCATGACAAAGCTTGACGGGGTGGAGGAGGGGCTGGTTTGTATGGGGGCTCGGCGGGCAAAACTCACCGAAGCAGCGGGCGCTCCGCCCTCAGCATAGCGGGACCTAGCGGTTTGCCGTCTACGCACGTATGCAGTTCCCTACCTTAAACATGGACGACTATTCCTCGCGATCAGACGCTACAGTGACAGAAACGTGGTTTGATGGTTGGTCTCGACTGATGACAACGGCTATCTTTGCTTCCGGCCTAGTCGCGGGCCCATGCTGCATGCATGTCATCTCTAGCGTAGATATCGCCATCCATTTTTCTTTATCACCATAGACTACTGGTCTGGCTCGCGCCCTCGGCCTTCTGGTATGTTCCGAGTAAGCGGACGAGGCCTGAAGCCTGTTTCGAGCCGGCATGCGACGAATTGTCATCATGGAGGGGCTGTCAGGCCCTCCAGGGCTTGTTGCAACTCCGTCTGGTGGTTGTGTCGCGTCGCGCTGCTACATCGATAAGTGTATTACGCCTACTAAACTGGGATCCGCCTCCGATGCTGCCCGAGGAAGACTAATCTAGATCGCGCATGTGTAGACCTGTCGCATAGATCGCCAGGGCCTTGTTGATATACAGCAGCAGTTGACCCTGCGTTCACGTCACGTCCGCCGATCTTCCACATTTCACACCAACATGACCGCGACATTAGAGACCTCTCCACTATCACGCACATCATCCCCGCCAGCAACACTCAAGAGAAAACGAGCGGGTTCTGATACCCAACCTCTTACCCCGCCGTTAGCCGCAAGCGACTCTGAAGGATCGCGTCTGCTCTCGCGCGCCGTCCACGTTCTTTCGACTGCTGCCACCGCGCTCTCGCAGGTCACTTTTCTATATGAGTCCGACCATGTGGCGCGCGATGGTCTCCTTCAGGCCGTCGAAGTCATCACGAAGACCAGCCAGACTGGCGGTAAACTCATAATATGCGGAGTGGGCAAGAGCGGACTGGTGGGGCGCAAGATGGTCGCGACGATGAAGAGTTTGGGCATAGCGAGCTCCTTCATGCATGCTGCTGAGGCACTGCACGGGGATCTCGGAGACATCAGGAAGGTGAGTTTCATCCCAAAGCTCCAAAGATGAGAAACGTACTGACTAGAAGTAGAACGACGCAATCATGTTCATATCCTACTCCGGCAAGACAGCAGAGCTCATGGCCCTCTTGGAGCACATACCCTCCCACACCCCCATCCTCGCCATCACATCGCATACGAAACCCTCAGACTGCCCGCTCCTCGACGACCGGCCGAACTCCATACTGCTGCCTGCGCCCATACATGAGTTGGAGGAGGTCTCGTTTGGCGTCTGCGCGCCGACGACTAGCACCACCGTCACCATTGCGGTGGGCGATATGCTGGCGTTGACCGTCGCAGAGGCGCTACATCAAGATGAGACGAAGGCTGTGTTTAGAACGAATCACCCTGGCGGTGCGATCGGTGCGAAGTCGCGACGGATAGAGAAGGACGATGATACCCAGGTGGAAGCGAAGGAGTGCGATGGGCTGGTTACGCCGCCGGCTACCTGATCGTGTTCAGGAAGATACCAGAGGTGCGATAGGTGAGGACACTGGAAACGTGTAGATCGTGTAGATCATGTACATGCGCAAGGAACGGCCGTAACGAACCAGAGGGACTTTACCTCATGTTCTTCACTCGAGACCTGGTCATAACCGCATGGTTCTTGTGATGGTTTAGGGCAACTTACCGGCAGAACAGCACAGTGATGTTGCGACTCCACGCGAGCTAGTGGGTGGTACCTTCCCGTTCCACCTGCAGCCTGCACTCACTTTAACCCCTCCACTCACTTTTCGTATGCGTCACCATACAGGTTTCTCATACACAGCCTTCATTACCGTGCATAGATTGGATGGCAGCGCTGATCGACGCGCTCACATTGGACGTCTGCATGGTTGCGGCACAGTCTCGCCATGGGTGGTACAATGAGGGGTCGCCTTGCGCGCCTTCCAGTTCCCGTTCCAAGTATCTTCGAGTCTTGACACCCACTGTGTACTCTCAGCTCACCAGAGCTGTAGCCTTTCCCGCAATTGGAGACTGGGTCACTCTCCGGTATTCCGTCCCAGCTCAGATTTTGGCCTCATACATGGAGCCCTGGATTTCGCACACCATCCACCATGGAAGCCTTGACAGCGATTGGCTTGATTGCCAATATCGTCCAGTTTGTCGACCTCGGCGCAAAGCTTATCGGCTCTGCGAAGGAGATGCGCGACTCTGCCAGCGGCATGACGGTGGAGAACAAGAGCTTGGAGGAAGTTACCATCGAGATGCGCGATCTCACGTCGAGGCTGGATCCACCTACCACGAAAGCGAAAAGCGACGACGAAAAAGCCCTCCGTCGGTTAGCTCAAGAGTGTCGCGAGCTGTCAGACCAGATCCTCCGCCTTCTGAAGAAGGTTGCCCCCAGCAAGCCGAATTCAACCCTTCGTTATATGCGATCTGCGTTCAAGAATATCAAGTACAAGGACGAAATGAGAGAACTCGAGGATAAGCTAGCAAAATGCCGTGACCAGCTGCATCTACAGTTCAGCAAATTGACCAGGTTAGTCAACATTGAGACATCGGTGTTGAGATCATTTTCTGATATGACAACAGTTTGGAAGTGCAAGGGCAACTTCACGCTCTTGCAACGCTTGCGCATACGAACGATGGTATGCTGAGAACGATGGAGCAGCAAATGAAACGACTCCGTCAAGGTACATGTGTTGCTTCACTGAGTGTCGAGGCCCAAGATCAGATCAAAACCCTTCTGGGACTGACCAGATTGACTTTAGAAGGAAAAGCAGCACATAATATTTTGAGTTCACTCGCCTTCGATGAGATGCGGACGAGGGCCGAAACCATACAAGAGGAGCATTGCGATACGTTTCGATGGATTGTGGACCCAAATGCCGAGGTGGATGACACTACTCTGGCAAGCAACGCACGTGAGCTTTATTTATCATGGCTTTCCAGAGGCCGTGGTATATTTCATGTCGCTGGGAAGCTAGGATCCGGGAAGTCCACACTCATGAAATTCCTGTTCGATCATCCTGAGACACAACAGCAACTGCTAAAGTGGGCAGGTTTGTAATCACTCAAAATCGAGACAGTGGTCAGCTGACGAGTTGTGTTGTAGGTGAAGCAAAACTTGTCGTGATCAACCACTTCTTCTGGAAACCTGGAAAGCAGTCGTTACAGAAGTCGTTCAATGGAATGATGCGAACTCTTCTTTTTGATCTTTTGGATGCCCATCCAGAATTGACCAAGATCGCGTTCCCAGGTGCCTGGGCGCGCATGACGGAAGAGGACAAGTTCTCGGAGTTCAGGATCCCGATGTCGCTACAAATAACCCTCGATGCCCTATTAGCTCTCCTAAATGACGAGGCTGTTCAGAGATCTTATCGGTTCTGTTTCTTCATCGATGCCTTGGACGAGTTTGAAGATTCCCCCCAGCACGATGATAGGTATATGGTCGACGCACTTCGCTCTTGGGTCCAAACTTCACCGAACACCATCAAGCTATGCGTATCCAGTCGAGAACATAACGTGTTCGTGAACGCATTCGCTGATGGCCCAAGGATCCGGTTGCAGGAACTGACTAGGCACGATATGGAATGTTTCACCCGGTCAAAGCTCGGATCTATACCTGAAGCCGCCATTCGGGAGCGCCTCACACACGACATCGTCGACAGATCGGACGGTATATTCCTTTGGGTTGTTCTCGTCATCAAGCAGCTCCGCCAAGCTTTGGAAGATGGTCGCGACACATCGTCTTTCGAGGAGGAGTTGGCGACGCTCCCTACCGAGCTGGAAGAATTATTCGAGCATCTCCTCAAATCTATACCAAAATCGCAGCGAAAGAAAGCGTCTCAGATCTTTTCTATGGTACAGGAACACGAGACTCTGCCGATCAAACTATCGTTGCTATCTTGCCTGCACTTGGATACATATCAGGCGGATCAGCAGGAGAAATTCGCAACGAAGCGGCTCTCTGCATTACCCAGCCTGAACATGCAGGATGAATACGAACTACATACATGGTACGAAAAACAGGTCAAAACAGCTCGGACACTACTACAAGGCTATTGTAAAGGACTAGTCGAGGATCGGCCCGCCCCTATATTCCACAACTATGAAGGCGAGACGAAGCCTGGGGAAGGGCGTATCAATACATGGACCCCTTCGCCAGAGCTTCCAAAAACCTTTCCAAACCCTTCTAAGCCTGCTGGATCCAGATGCATCCTGTTCGTCCATCGAACCGTCGTTGAGTTCCTTGAGGGCTCAACTAGTCTCAAAACCGCGACACGCCAAACAGATTCGTTTGACGTGGTAGAAGCAATATCCCAGTTACATTTGGCCGAGTTTCAGTCCATACCTGGCCAACTCATCGATCAGATGTACTGGTCATATCTATACGGCATTCTCATCAGACTTCGATTTTGCGATGGCAAAGACAGGTCGCAGTTCGACTTCCTTGTACAATTGGAGCATATTGTCTCGGGTAAATTCCCAGGATGGTTGGAGTCTATAATTCTTCCAGCCGAAGAGTACGTCTGGGCAGTCAGGCTACAGGAATTTGTTGCGGTCATCAAGGTGGGCAGTGATCCGCGTTCGGATGTGCGAAATCGATATGTCAATCTGAACCATCCACTTTGTATGTCCGCCTGCCTTGGCAACGCTTCATATGTGCTTTGGCAGATCGAAAGGCCTGCCGAATTCCCACTAGATGGCCAAAAGGTACCTATCATCCTTCGCTGTCTGCAGAGGAATCTTCTCGAGGATGCAAGACTTGACGACTTCGAAAAAACCATCACCTGCTTCACGAGGCTCTTGGATGGCATTTCACCTCATGTCACACATTTCCTGTGGCCTAGATTGATTACGGGTTGCTGTCATTCCACGCAACACAGCGATCCTGTGTGGTCGCGTGCCATGGGCCAGCTCATCGCATTGTTTCTGCAACGATGCAAAAGCAAGAATCTACACACGACTGATATGACAGCAAGTTGGGGCATGGTTATGGGTGAGGACCAATCAAGGGAATATATTCGAGTGGGGGGTGAAGACCTACTATCCGTGGGCATCGCAATGCCCGACCCGTTGACCACCGACTACGTTCTTCTCCACAAACGAAGCGGGTACACATCGTTGGATGAGCTGATAAAGATGTGGAACTTCGAGAATGAGGCGGAAATACTTGGGCTTATCAAACAAGCGTACACGGAAACCGAGAATGATTCAAAATCTCCTCATCTTATGGATACGGTCCAGGAAGGGTCCGGAGAGGGCTCATCCGACGAGACGTCAATTTTGAACACATCGCCCATGTTGCTTCAAAGAATTGATAGCGCAGCCGAAATCCGAAGTGAAAGTGAAACAACGTCGCCTTGCTTGCTTGCCCCAACCAAAGCAGACGTCGGCCCACCCCAAGCCCAGGCCGCTGAACACCACCCTGGTCGCGCATATGGTATCGCGACAATCATCACTCTTCTAGGTGAGACGATTCTAGTGGGAACCCGATGGGCTTTTGCTGACATGGACTCTAGTGTTGCTGTTAGCTTTCCTCATGGCTCACAAAGACTATTGGGTTCGATAGTCTTCTATCATAGTCTATAAGCCCGCCCGCACCGTATCATCACGTCAATCTGGGAAAAGCCTGAACACCGTAGGGCCTACATCGACGTTGGGTCACTCACTTCGCACGTTTCTATCTCAATGTAGCCCGCAGACCTCTTCGGTTTTTTCCTTGTTTCAGGTGCCATGCATTCGGGATAGCACTGGTGAATGGCTTTGTGCTGAATCGCTGATTGTCCGGGCGCTTTGACTCTGATCGAGTCTTTGTTGTCCCCAGCGGGATAGTCGATGAGTGAAAGGCGCAAAGCAGGTGAGCGATTGTCTGCCAAAGGTACATAGTAAACAAAGACTTCAACATACATAGCAAAGTGAGCGAGCATCTTGTTCATCGCAAGAGCAGGCTTCTCGTATAGCGCATCTAAATCTTTTTGTATAGCAACGATCATCACCTCATCCTGCACTCATCATGGCAGACGAACAACCCCCCCTTGCAGGATTCTCGCACCAAGAGAAGAGCGGTTTCCTCCGTGTAACTCCTTCGTCAGACAAACCAGCGGATAAAACACAGCCAACCAGTGCACAACCCCCACCACCATCGAAAACCGGAAAAAGACCATTCGGGGGCGGTGAAATACTCGGCGAGCCTCTCATAAAACGATCCCGGGTGGATGAGAACGATGAAGCAAGGCGTTCCAAAGAGCGCAGACCAAGAGAACTAGACCCAGCGATGCTAACCAAGCACTTCACCATGGCCAACAAGAAAGATATTGAAGAAGTAAAAGCGCGTATCGTAACTGCAACGCCATCGAATCCAACCGGCATTCCGCCTCGCTCCACCCGCCATGCAGAGACTGTGCCACTATCGATGGTGACTGGGAAACCAATGGTATCAAAGTCATTGCGCGACGCACCTCCACTTCCCCGAGACACGTCGTCGAAAGAGCGGCGAGATGCAATGGTACCACGCAGAGAAAATACATCGAAGTCCCGTCAAGACCCTTCCGCTTACCACCAAAACAGAATGGATGGCGCACATCGAGACACACACACACCCACACCAACCCCAGGCACAAAAGCCAACCCCATATCCTTCAGTTCCGGCCTGCACGCACTAGACCGCGAGTTCCGCTCTGGATCAGGCTATTACCCTTCGCAGCAAGACGACGACGCTCTATCTCTTCTCTCATCCATATCCTTGAGTGAAGGCCCTCGGGGTCATGGTGCACGTCGGGGACTCAGACGGGATGGTGATGGTCTGGGGAAAGGCTATGACCGCTATGGGAAAGACTGTGATCACTACCAGCCGCCCCGCCGTACCACGCGGTCTGAAGAGAGGAGGAGAAGAGGGGCGTTGGATAGTGGAGAGTTGGAGAGGATGGCGAGGAGACACCGGACGATGGGGATGGGGGGGAGTTGTGATGTTTCTCCTAGATCGGGGGATGGGAGTTGTAGTAGGAGTAGGAGTAGGAGTAGGAGTCGGTCGAGGTCGTTGGTGAAGAGGGATGATAGATACAGAGGAGAAGGAGGTCGTGTAGAAAAGCCACGGGGACGCTCTGCAAGGCTCGATCGCTCTTTATCGCGACGGCCCCCACCGGTTTCGCAACGGCCGCGTGAACAAATTCCACCACCTTCTGGGCAGGTGAGGAGGGAGGAGGGGGTCAGGAGTAGAGGGGTGAGAAAGAGTCGAGAGCGGAGCCGTGGCGCAGACCGGCAGCGTAGTCGAGGGCGGGAAAGAAGTCCAAAACGAGAGAGAAGTAGACAGCGTCGCAGCTCTTCACATGGCCGTGGTAAAGACCGCCGGCGTAGTCGAGACCGTCGTCCCAGTCGAGACCGTCGCCCCAGTCCACACCCTCACCACAAAAAACGCCGCAGCCGCAGCCGCAGCCACAGTCCCAAACCCTCCCAACCCTCCAAACAACCCCGTTCAGATCCCCCACACCCACCACCTTCCCCTCCCTCCCCTTCCGACTCCTTCTTCGGCGCGGATGAATTACCCGAACCGCATGAGAGTCTCGGTGTGGCCGAAGGCGAATACACACAAGAGCAGGAAATGGCGTTGTTTGATCTTGCGGTCACTGTGTATGTGCAGAGAGAGAGGGTGGCGGAGCTCATGTTGAATCGGACGAGGTTGCAGTTTGATTTGGATAATAAGAGGAAGAGGGAGGAAAAGGGGGGAAATGAGGGTGGGGATGGAGATGGTGATGGTGATGGTGATGGGGGTGAGGGGGAAGGAGGGAAGGACGGGGATGGCGATGGGAATGGTGGCGAAGACGAGGAAAGGGAGAAGCGTGGAGGGGATGGAGCTGAGAAGGGTAGTAAGGAGAGGGGTAGTAGAGAGAGGGGTAGTAAGGAGAAGGACGATAGAGGGAGCAAGGAACGGTCATAGCGTGCATCGTATTCCGCTTACGGTGGTGACTGGATAGATTTATGTTGATGGCTTTGTCCTGCTGGACGAAGTGAGATCGAGCCTTGGTTGGGTATAATCGTTCATGAATCATGCATCTTCCCTACATGTACATCCTCTGCCCATGTTGTTTCATCTCTTATTCGCCCAAGGTGCCTTCGTGCCCTCTTGTGCACTTGGCGCATTTCCAGCATTTCCCTTTGCCCATGGTGCTGCAGTACCACTGCCCGGTGGCGGCGGTGCAGGCGTTCGACTCGCCCAGGGTGCTTTTGTAGGTTGATTCGGGCCACTGGGTACGCCCGCATCCGCACCTCTGGCATTTGCCCAAGGTGCAGCAGTCGCGGCTGGCATACCACCACCTGGCGCTCTGGTACCGGCACCAGCCCCTGCAGCAGCCCACGGCGCCGCGGTCCCCACCGTACCGCCAGGCACACCTCTGATTGGCATGCCGGTAGAGGGGTCAGCCATCGGGTCGCGTAACGCGGGCTGTGGCCGTGCAGTTGGTGCCGTGTTAGATGGGGTACTCGACTTTGGCTGACTGGCTGTATGTACACTCGCTTGAATTGCCTTGGCGTTCGGATCGGCGGAGAAGGAGAAGAGAGAGCCGAAGGGGAAGTGCTGAACTACGGGAAATTTCGAGAGGACTTCTGCGTTGTACATCTTGATCATTCCCTGATATGGGGTCAGTCAATGCACGTAATCAAGGGTGTCTTGATACTAACCTTGTTGATCTTGGCCCATCCTGCCTTGACGCCGGAGACATCGTAGAGGATGTTGCTATGTTCCCAGAATGGACCTTTCTTGACGTCGTAGATGAAGCCGATGGCACTGAAGTACATATTCCGGTTTCGCTCGCGGGCGACTGCGGGTGCTTTTGCTACATCGCCTGGGTGGGGAGCGGATGGCAATGAGCCTTCTGCTGCTACGTCTGCGGGTGTGTTGATGGCTGGTGAGAGTTGTGCGCTACCAAATATGTAAGGTACGAAAGAATGATCGTCCAGTCCCCATACGCCATGCGACCCGGCAGGTTCAAGGGTGTATGTCAAGATGAGTCGGCGAATCAATTCGAGGTACGGTTCGATGACCCCAAGTACAATGCCGCGTTCTTGCTCGCCGTCCTGCGACGCGGGAAAAGCTCCGAGTTTCCAGAGACAGCCGAGAAAAGCGAGGAAGCTCAGTTCATGACCTGAACCGTAGTCTAGGCGCTGAGAGCTTCCAAAACTGCCGATAAGATACGCTTCCAACTCGGTTTTGGCTGAGACGTCGGATGAGGATTTGAAGGACAGTACTTCTTCCGGCAGATACTGGTCCAACAGTCCAGGGACTCGTTCTCTGACGATATCGTACCACGTCCTGAAGCTTACGTTTCCGAACCGACGCGGTCCGGGATCTGGTGGCGCTTCATCCATTATCGATTGAAGGGTATTGATAAGCTTGGCGAGGCTTCGAACAACGGGCGGATGGGGCACATCCGGGTCATGCAACTTCCATTCTTTCGCCGTTTCTGTGCTGTTCTTATCTTCGCTCTTGATTTTCCGTGGTATCATGGCCGTGTTGAGCTGGAAGATGAAAGTCATGATATCGGCATAGGCCCTGCTTGCCAAGAAGAAAGTGACGTCGTCGCCATCGTGGATGCGTTTCGCAGGGACTTGGAAACTGTGCGATGCATCTCTACTCAGTACTTCGAGTACAGGTGCTTTGGATGGATTTGAGGACATGGCGGGGTATGTTATGTGGTGGTTGTTTGGGGGTTAGTGGGCAGGGACGATCTCATGTGATAGCGTGTTTCGGGGATGGGCCCACTCTTTCGCGCCTTGACAGCGTTGGATGCTTTTGGCCGCGGGGATGACTTCACTCTCCCCCCACATCGCCGTCATCGCTCGGATACCTTCATTAGCACAGATGCGCTAGTATTATTGACACTCACTTTATGGCGCGGCTTAAGGATGCGCCCAAGCAGGCAGGTACGTCGTGTCGGAGCTGCCGTCGAGCTGGCGGGTAGACGCGCGAAGCTCTCCAACATGTCCACCAGCTACACAATCCTATACGAAGCTTCCATCCGAGCTTATATAAGCTGACACTCATACTACAGCTCCAAAGCTTTCCTCGCCCTCCTCAGACGACAATGCCGCAACCCAGCAGCTCCTCGCCGAGTCCAACTCTCCAAGCGCCAACCCGCCCTCATCGTCCGCAGTCCTTGGCGCCAACCTCCTCAATGCAGCACGTCCTGGAAAGCTCAAACGAGTCAGCATACTTCCTGAAGGAGCCAGACAGAACCTAGCGATAAGAGGAGACCCGTACGAGATTGAGCTGAGCCCTGAGAAGGGTCGGTACGCGCTCCCACTGAAGGTCAATCATAAGCCGTTGAAGATCAATAGGAAGAAGAAGGAGAAGAAGAAGCCAGCCAAGAAGAAGGTGCAGGCCACTGTGGAGGCAGTCGAGGAGCGGAGTGACGTCCCCGCGCCTTCGTCAGAGCTCCCGGTGCACCATGACGCTGGGCCACAAGTGGATGAAGAAGAACGAGTGGAGGATCTGGCAGGAGCAGAACCCGATATACGTTCCTCGCCGCCAGAGCTCGCACCGCCTCAACGCACCCCATCTAAAGCCGCCCCAGCTATACGCGATGACATTGTGGTCGATCCTACTGTTACGACAAGCCTAGATGAAGAACCTACTGATGCGCAGGAGGACAATAGCAGTACACGACGAACGCCGAAACGGAAGTCAGAGTCGGATCACAGCGAAGAACAGCCCTCCAAGATTCCGAGGAAGCAAAGGCGGACGACTGGCGAATCGAGCGCATCGAGAAAGAGTCACCCACAAGTACGCATACCGGCCCGGCGCAGCTCGCAACAGCAGGATGTGGCGACTACGACCGGACATGACGATGTTCAAAGCACGCGAGAAGGCCCCGAACGGACTTGGGAGCAGAGACAGGAGGATTTCCTAAAACTTATTAATGGTGCACGAAAATTGAAACCTCAGAAGAAACGCACCAACGATACCACTGAATCAAGCCAGCAGTTACCGGCTATCGTGAGAGGATTGCAAAAGCACGCAGAGCCGCCCAAGCAAGCTGCGGAAGTTGCTGATGCTCCAGAGACTGAACACGCGCCTGTTGTTGACGTGTTTGGGGACGATTCAGACGAAGACGACGCTAGTAGCGTCGCTGAGCAAGCTGATAATACAACGCGCCCTGCAGGAAGGCCTGGGAGCATCGAAACCGTCTTTGAATTCCTCAACCTAGAGGCACGGCCAGGAAAGTGCCGAACCAAGCTGGCTGCCACCATCAGACGCGCATGCAAGACATACAGAGCCCACCTTCAGGAAGGTGACCTTTCCATGGACACTGTCGTCGATGAAGCCGACGACTTACGAGGAGCGCTCGGACAAATCAGTATCGATGTCGAAAAGAAGGACCATCGCGCCTTCAAACGAGATGCCTATCGTCATGTCTTCCGGGCTCTCACACTGTACCTCGAAGCATTGTATACGTGGCTACAGGACAATGGCAGTGAAGTGACCGAGTCTCTGGAGGCTATGAAGATTCTATCACCCCTGATGGACCGGATACTGGCTTTCAAAGACACCATTACTGAGTGGAATGTTTCCGTGCCTCAACGCTCCAAGGGCGATCGAATCATCAAGGACGTTGATATTGGTCTCATTGCTCATCTTCGACAGGTTGCCAGGACGTATCGCGGACATCTTAGTAGACTCAAGGCCAGGCAGGAACATCGCAAGATCCAAGAAGACTTCGAGCGCAGGATGCAAGAAAGAGAAGAGGAGGAGAACCGCAAAGCCGAACTTGAGGAAGCGCGAAAGCAACGGTGGAAACGTTGGCAAGCTCTGCACATCGTGCGCCTGACGTGCGAGCCCGATGCGCGCAGAAGGAGCAAGCTGGCTATCACAAGACTCGAAGACCTGGAGGAGAGAGACGCCAACGGCGTCATCTTCGAGCGATTGCCAGTATTCACACCTCGCTCAGCTCCACCGCATCGTCAAGCGTCGGCGTTGAGTAACAAGCCGGAGTGGACCGAACAGGAAGAGACTGCTCTGCTCGAAGGTTTGAGGCATCTTGCCGGTACGTCGGGAGTAATTGTTCACATCTTATCATCATCGCACTGACATGTACCCTAGGTCCTCAAGTCTTCGAGAAGATATTCACAACGTATTGCCGGCCCGACTCGTCTCATTCACTTAGCGGCCATTTGCGCGATCGCAGCGTCGCAGAGATTGTCACAAAAGCAGCACAGTTCCGATCAGACTTTCAGAAGTTATATCAAGACAATGGCTGGGAGGTTGAGGAGTGGATTACTAAGATACCAGTATTGCCGTAAGTGCGGGTTACTTGGATGCTTTGATCCACCTATGCTCCACACGCGACTCTGACCCTTTCCCGCTTGACTAGAATGGGTGGTATATTAACGTCACACTTATCGCCGTTTGTCTCTTTGTGATACCCCTCGTGTGCTACATTTCTTTCATACCAATGCAAACAACATCATTGGCGCCTATGTGTCCACCAGCCCTGATAGTGGCCGCCCATCTACAACATCCCCTGTGCTCCATATTCAAGATTACCACACAATATCGCACCCAACAGTATGCGATAAGTGCAGTTCCTATTACATATCTAGTGAAAGCACGGGTCTACCCATTCGCTCGTGGGGTACGTGGTCAGATCACTGGACGTGAATGACAATTACGCGAATGCCGAACCGCCCACTGGTAGACATAGACTTTGGTACTGGTAATCTGCCTCCACTTCTCCACTCGCTATCCCACCTATACACAAAGCGCAATATTCAACCTGGATCAATTTTCACCTTGGAGTTCAGTGCACGCGCCCCTGCACCGCCCACAGTCGCAAAGTCGCTCTCTCACTTTAAATTCCTTGCACACCCTTTCTCCCTCCTGACTACTCAACCCGCCTCTCACTCTCAACTTACCGCGACCAACACCCAAGCTTGAATATTCTCCCAATTTCAAGTCAAAATTCCCGACGACAATACGCAATACTTACCACAACATCACCACCCAAAATGTCTCCTCCCACTACGGCTTCTTCGCCCTTCTCTCACGCGGCTAGCCTAGCCCACTACGAGACCAAGAACTCGTTCGAGCTCATGGTCATGGCGAAGCTACGTTGTATTTCTGATGCTGGTGAGAACCAGGAGATTATCGCGCGGCTGATGGCGCAGGATAGGGAGAATGGGACTTGGCCTGGGAAGCACGAGGAGCCTGGGGCGGCTGCTGCGACGAAGACCGATGGCGCGGCTGAGATGAAGGATGGGGATGAGGTGGGTTTGGCGCCAGTTATGGGGGTTTTGGTGAAGGAAGAGATGACGCCTGGGCCTGGAGTTGGTGGTGAGCGAAGGGCAGATCACGTGCCGGAGGCGGTTGTCTCCGAAGACAGACGCGCTCGTGCTGCGACTGCTAGCACCACTGCTACTAGCACGAGGAGCAGAAGCTCAATTATCCCCTTGTCACAACTGGCAAAAGAATGGGATCAGGATTGGGGCGCACCTTTCGCTTTCCCTCTCGCTGCTACCACCGGCTCGAAACCCCAAGACAAACCCGTGACTCCTACTGAGTCTGTCTCCAGTGGCTCAAAGTCACCCGCCACACCCGCCTCTCCCTGCTCGCAAGTCTCTCCCGTCTCACAAGCCTCTCCTGTCTCGCAAGCCTCTCGCGCATCTCTGGCAACTCCTGCCTCGTCCCCTCCCACCATCCCGGCTTCGTTGAAATCGAATCCGTATAACCTCCTCATGGGGAATGAGCAGGACAATGGAGAAGGAGAAGAAGAAGAGGAGGAGGAGGAGGAGAGCGAGAACGAGGGGCTCATCACCCCCCTGAAGATGTGCACGGGGAAGGCGAGGGCTGCCACAGTGTCTACGGGGGCTGAGGTCACGTATGCGGCAACGTCCAGTAAGGATACTGCCGCTGCTCTTACGGAACAGCGTGAGAAGGTCCCGGCTCCCGATTCGTTGGCCAGTTCCGAGCCGTCTGCTGAGGTTATGTCGGTGCCTGGGGTCGGTCTGCTTCCTGAGTCTCCTGTTGTTGTGAGGGACTTTGGTGCTATGGTTTCGAATTCGCCCTCGTCATCGCGGTCACTCGAAGAAGCAGCCCACAAGTCCGACGTGGCCGCCTTCTACAACATGCCTTCCCCCTCGCCCGTTCGACCAGCGACATCAACGAAGACCACGCCCGTACAGGTCTTCGTGAGCGCTCCTCCATCGCCGCCGTCATCGCCACCACAGTATACTCATACTGTTCCGTCGTCTTCCGCGCCCACCAAAACGACTCACCAGCCGCGCAACGAGAAGCGCAAACAAGACCAGGCTGTTGTGTCGTCGAATATGTGGGACGTGCTGGCCGCTGACGACTCCGTCGACGCCGATGACCCCGCTTCTACTCCTGTTGCTGTTGACACTGATGACAATAACGAGGTTGATAGTGAGGACGAGGCTCCACAAGCTCGGCAGGCGCAAAAGAAGAAGAACAGGAGGCGCGGAAAGAAAGGTGGAAAGAAGGTGCAGGCGATGAAGCAGAAGGTGGAGCAGGCTGTGGAGGTTCCTGTTGTTATCCAGCAGATCAAGACGGTGGTGAAGCCGAAGCCGAAGCCGAAGCAGATGAAGATGGAGATGTTGCAGGCGTTAGGTGTCACGGCTATTGTCATGGTTCTTGTTGCGCTTTTGGGTGCTCGCGTTCTAGCATAGAGCAGAGCTGGCCTCGACGCGTGGATTGCATTCTTTGGGCCTTTTAGCGACATTTGTATGGACTTCTTGGAGTTTTAGAGAATGCGGTGTGTCTGCGAGGCCTTTTGGCGTTCTAGTAGTATTAGCATAGTTATTTTAGACACTTCTCGCAACGCTTTGTGTGCGCAATGGAGAATCGAGTGCGCCACTAAATCAGACTGTGGCCTGATCTTAGTTTAAAATGGTCATTGATGTAGTGTTATCTAAAATGACTGCGATACCTCAGTGTTGTCCGCTGGTGTGCATCTAGGTGGTGTGTGTTTTGTTACCGCGACGAGCTTCACGCCACTTTATTGGCTTCGTATCGAATTCGAGATAATTCGTGCGCCTTCGACTGCTCAGCATACCGCACTACAAGAACTGTGTCTCCAGGCTGCTACGAACGCGCAAGCGAACAGGTGCGTTCGTCAAGTGCGACGGAATGGAATCGAAGTGCACAATCACAACTACCTGGGCGGTGTGAGCTTAATCAAGCGCGCGTAGCCAGGAAATCCTGTCTCGTGTTGCGCGAATAATCAGAAAAGGGTGAGGATTCTAAACGTAAAGTCTTCCGTTCCTGGACTCGCCCTGGACGAGATGGCTACGGCTGAATGGGATGCACTAGCACCGCACGTCGTGGGCCTTTTGCGGTCATTTGAACTGCCGTAGACACCCTCAAGGCCGTTCCCAAGCAGTCATCCCACAGGTTCCGCAAGCCATCGCGAGCTACGCGCGACAACGCCTGCATCACGAACCAAAAAAGCCCACGAGTATACCATGTGAAATAACACCCCCACCGTGCAAGCGATCGCGCACCTGCATACACGTAAATCAACCGACCAATAACAAGCTTTCACGCAGCGGGAGGGGTCCGCGCTAGTCCGCAGCCAGAAGCTTGTAGGCAAAGCACCGCCCTCCCACAACCACGACATCATCACAATGCGCGAATTATCCCCCCCTTGGCGCACGCCGGCGAAGCAAGTAAAATGTAGCCCATCCTACTTTCACGTGCGGTTTCGTCGCCGCAATAGGCAAAACCAGGCCCACGATGGCAGTGGCTGAGCAACACCGCTGATCGCGAGATAAATCCCTCATACAATTATTTCGCTGGGCCTTTGTACCCAGGCCGTATTGCGCTGGAGCTCACGTGCTTTCTGGGTGATTCTGCACTCCTCTTCTTCTCCTTCTTATTCCATTCCCAATACACTGGTAACTTTCTGTACTCTGGACTTTGAACACGAAAGAGTTATTTTTCTCTTCGCTTACCTCGCCCTTGCGCTTTCGTTGCGTTACTGCACGTAGCGATCATCCCTCAGTGTGTCACTGCGGATTGAGCGCATAGCGACAAAGGCAATATGTGGAAGCCGCCAATCAACTTCATTACGCTGCATTGTAAGTTACAGACGGTTCCGTCTGATCCGGGAGCGGCATGGCTAACGGGGTGTAGATGCATACATTCTCAGTTTCGGGATTCTGGCCCTGATCATCATCTATCCCTATGGCAATCTCTCGGCTATCGATGCGTACTACTTTGGTGTCAGCGCGTCGACTGAATCTGGCTTGAACCCGTATGTCTGGGTTGATGTACTGGGATGAATGCCGTGCTGACAGTGCGTTAGTGTTGATGTCAAGGCTCTCAAGACATACCAGCAGATCTTTGTTTACATCACGCCTATCGTTACAAATCTGGGGTTCATCAACGTACTCGTCGTCGTTGTGCGACTACGCTGGTTCAAGCAGAAGCTCAAGGGCATTGGTATGTTAGATGTCGCTCTAAGCCTGCAGCTGCAGCTAACCCCCAATAGCGGCGGCACACAGTAGACCCAAGAGCTTGCAGCTGTCTATGAGCCGGGCTCAAACAACCGATAACACCGCCGATACACGAAAGATCGAGGAGGGTCTCACCGGCGAGACCACAGTCTCGGAAAAGCAGCCTGTTGCCACTGCAGACGAGTCGAACGACCAACCTTCCGCTCCTGCTCCTCGCATCACATTCGCCCCAGATCCTCGACCTCATGTCAACGAAAAGGGCGCTTTGTATGTCCCTGGTCCACGGGAACGCGATAATGGCGAACATATCACTTCGCTGTCAGATGGTAAGCTCGCTCGGATCTTCGTGAAGGCATGCCTAACATGATCGCTACAGACGATGACGATGACGATGATGAAGACCGCATCAAGCCTGTCGCAGAGTCGAGCAACCCACTACGTCGCCTGCGGTCAGAGACAAGAAGTATGAACACGCGTACCATGAGCAAGGCTACCTCCGTAGACCGCGCTGTATCCTCCATCTTCGTCCTTGGAAGTACCGCAAGCGGCGCCCGTCGTAGCGAAGACAAGCCGGCACGCAGGACGCCCACCATCGATCTGAGCTCCATGACCCGGGAAGAATTGGGTGGTGTTGAGTACCGCGCGCTGCAGGTCCTGCTCAAGGTTACCATTGGTATGTAGCAAGAGCGACGAATCTGGCTCGCTCATGCTAATCATCACTCTAGGATACTTCGTCGGCCTACACACCCTCGGAGTTGTTTGCCTCCTCCCATGGATTCATACCGCACCTGCCAAGTACCAAGACTACCTCGCCTCACAGGGTCAAGACAAGACGTGGTGGTACGTTCCACTCCCTCTCATACCACATGATCTCCATGCTAACACTTCCCAGGGCGTTCTACTCCGCCCAAACCATGGTCGACAACCTCGGCCTAACCCTCACACCCGACAGCATGGTAACCTTCCGCGACGCCACCTGGCCCATGCTAGTAATGTCCTTCCTCGCCTTCGCGGGCAACACATTCTACCCCGTCTTCCTACGCCTACTCATCTGGTCCATCTACAAGATCGCACCCGCCGCTTCTTCCCTCAAAGAATCCCTGCGCTTCCTCCTCGACCACCCGCGCCGATGCTACACCCTCCTCTTCCCCAGCACCGCCACCTGGATCCTCGCCTCCATCCTCTTCGCCCTAAACTTCATCGACACGCTCCTCATCGTCGTCCTCGATCTCGATAACCCCGAAGTAAACAGCCTACCAGTCGGTCCCCGCATCCTGGCCGCTATCTTCCAGTCCGCATCCTCGCGCCACACCGGTACCGCGACTTTCAACCTCGCGGCCGTCAATCCGGCCGTTCAGTTCAGTCTGCTAGTCATGATGTACATTTCCATCTACCCCATCGCCATCAGCATACGCATGAGCGAGAGCTACGAGGAGAAATCCGTGGGGCTCTACGCCGGGGATGAGAATCTCGATGAGCAGAAGGGGGGGAAGACGTATCTGATCAGCCATATGCGGAACCAGCTTAGTTTCGATTTGTGGTATATCTTCCTGGGGGTCTTTATGATTTGTATCGCAGAGAGTGACAGGATTATGAGTCAGGAGGATTATGTAAGTTGATTGAATCCCCGAAGCGGGGTTTCTTGGTTGTTGGGAACGGTTTACTAACGATGTTACTAGGCTTTCAATGTCTTCGCCATCTTCTTCGAAGTCGTATCTGCATACGGTAACGTCGGTCTCTCGCTCGGTCACCCGTCGAATCTCACGTCGCTGTCTGGACACTTCAACACGTTTGGCAAAGTGGTGATTTGCTTCATGATGCTGCGTGGTAGACATCGCGGTCTACCTTATGCGCTTGATCGGGCGATCAATTTGCCTCATGACCTCATTACGGAGGATGAACAGGAGGACAAGTATAGGGATGAAGATGCGACGACGGCTGGGGGTGTTAGTGGGAGTGCGAGTGAAAGTGAAGGGAGGGGGAGGAAGATGTTGAAGAGTTTTACGCAGTAACATAGACATGGGCATGGTTAGATAGAGTGGACTGAGGGGTCTTGTTGTACACATTAGAATAGACCGCGATGCATTTGACGAACACGTTCACAGGTTTCGTATGGATTTGAGATGTGAGGTTTACGTTTAACTAATGATACTCTGACTGCATATAGCTGACTATCTGATCACAGAACTCCAAAGCAATAATACGATGAAGTACGAAGCAGCTTATACAAGCCCAACTTACCTACCCTCTACGCAAGACATGGAAAACTAAGGAAAAAAGAAGGACCAGGTCCTACGAGGATTTCGCGTCAACAGCCTTCACGCTCACCATCCCCTACCAGTTCATCCAACCAAACCCGCCATTGCTAAAGTTACTCCCCATCTGCGGCCGACGCTGAGTCCCTAGATGAGCTCCATACTCACCATCGCTACCCATACGACGTGGCGCCTCGCGGCCCTCGCTACCACGCACCGCACTACTACGATACAAACCGCCACCACCGTAACCGCCAGACGTCGAGGGACGCTCGTATCCGCGATCGATGCTAAAGCTAGTTTGTTGGGGTTCGCGGAAGCTAGAGGCGTAGGAGGGGGTGGCGTATGAGGAGGAAGTGCGGGAGGAGGAAGAGGAAGTGCTGGGCCTGCCCATGCTGGCGAGGAGACGCGATGTAGTAGACGGCTGCTCGAAACGAGATGAACCTAGGGGGCTGACAGAGCGATGGTCATCGTAAGAATTCTTGTTAGTGTACGCACGCGGGCGCTCAGAAGCGCGCATAGGGCTCAGATCACGGTAACTATACCGGCTGTCGTATGGATCGCGCTGGGATGCAGCGCGGCCCAGTCTAGAGCTACCAGTCGTCTCACGACGGGGTTGGCTGGTGTAGTCGCCGTAAGGCTGGGAGAAGGGCTCGGTCATTCTACTGGAGCTGGATGCGCCATAGCCGTAGGGATCACGGCTAGAAGACTCATACGCGTCACGGCGCGAAGAACGGCCCGAGCTGAAAGGGTTGTCGCCGCCGAAGAAAGATCCAAAGGGCATGTTGGGTTACTGAGATCGGGATTTGGTTGATGTGTTTGTTGGAATAGGTGGAATGAAGACTGTATTGGTCTTCAAAGTGTGTAGGTGCGTGTGTGCGTTGATGTGACGCCTTCAGCTAGGAGCCATACCGGAAACTCTTTTATACAATCAAATCTATCCCATTCGTGACGAGA